TGCTATCCTGCAACAAGAATAAAAAAAAAAAGCAAGGAACAATTACCTTCACACTCTCCCTGTTATTTTATATATCTATAAACATCCTAAGTCATTTAATTCGTCTATTGAGCCAAATTTACAAACACTTGGCATGCATAAGTTCCCTGTGCATACGTTTTTTAAGTTGGCTCTCAATGTATCTAATTTGTGCTACCCATATGATTTCCTTGCTTAGGAGTTTTCACCAGAGTTCCAATTCATTACTCATGTCACATTGTCTTAAACAAGTTGTATGAACAAAATCATGCAAGTAAATTCATCCCCCTTCTGTCGCAAAACAAGCCAAATAGTGCAATGAGTTTGCAATATTCTTACCTTTGGGGTTTAGTCCAATTCGATTGAGTCTATTTCTGCTTCAGATCTCACCAACTTCTGCCTTTTTGCAGCCTTTATGAAAAATTTTTGTCCCGTAATAGTTACTTCTTGTGTTCCCTCAATATACTGATTGATGATACTATATTTCTGCAACACTTTCTCCAAAAATCTCTCATTTGAAAATTTTTAATTTGGGGTAGGGATATTATTTTGCTGATACTCTGGAATTGTGAATGAATGTTTACAAGATATGTTTTTGGAGGGAGACCAAAATTTTATTTCATTTGAAAATTTCAGATGAAGAGTCGTGCCTCATTAATTTGAGCGGAAATTTTTGGAACGGACAGCTGAGGTATTTTAACGGAGTCCGTTAGCCTCTCAAATGTTTTTATTTTTATTTTTTTCTCTACTCACTTACTAAAACAGCGTCGTTTCCTTTGTTGCTGTCTCCATTATACGTGGCTTGTTGCAGTCCTCTCATTTCCTTTTGTGAGAGGACTGCTCAGGGACGGTCGACCTGATGACCGTCCCTGCCCCAAATCCTGGGATACGGTCCCCTCACAAAATCGAACGTGAGTCGAGAAATGGTCCAAGTCAGCAAGTGCTTAGCAGAGCAAAGAACGACGCCGTTCTATTAACTGAGAAGGGAAAAAAAAAATCCAAAATCGTATCTGGGGTAACGGCAAGTTACGGAACGACAGCAACGTTGGTAAGCGTCCTCCCGCCCAAAATGAAAGGTTGAAAATGAAGGTTCCCACTTAGACTCTCTCCTAAACCCACGAAGCAGTTGCTGAAATTCGAAATTAATAACTGTCAAAAACTAGGGCAATAGACGAGAGGAGAAATAATAGAGAAAAATAGGAGATTGGCAAGAACAGTGTGACATTGGAGTCAAGCTGTGGAACTGTGGCATTGTTGAAGGCTGAGCAGAGGAAGCAGAAGGAAGAAGTGGTGGCAGAAGTTCACATTTGTTGTGAATCTGCTTTAGTAAAAGAAGAAGAAACGTGAACCCAAGTTACAAAGTTGAAGAGCGTGGGATCCTGAGTAGTGAAAGACCACAAATCGTAAAGGTAAAACATGTGGAAACCTGGGATGATACAGTAATGTGTGTAAATTATACTTCAAAGTGGAAGGACCTTACTTGTGGTTGTTTTTGGTGTACACTATGACGCTTTTGTGTATAGTAAGTAAAAAAGTTCAGCATGATAGAAGTGTTATGTAAAATTGTATGTGATTGTCGAAACAGGAGAGTGGGAAAGGAGGGGGAAATCTTGCAGCACAACTGCTTGATAAAATGTGTGAATGGGTTTGGGATTTCGTAGGCGTAAAAAATGGCTGTAGATGCTGAATTACGAAATGCTAAATAGATAGTACAATGCGTTGAGTGTATCATACACTGCGAAACTAAATAGTGACAAGATAATTCAGTGCAATGAAGGGTAATATAGCACGTTGGCTAAAAATTATGTTATGTGGGAAAAAAGTGACATGGAGAAACATTGATACGGTGTGTTAAAGTGTAAAGCATTAACATAAGAAAGTCAAAACTTGTGAGATGTAGTACATAGTATAAGGAAAAGATCTAGAAAATGACAAAGGGTAGAGGCGAAGGACAAATTAGAAATGATAGTCTGAGATTAGTATGTTATATTTGAGATTTCATTGGTGTATGTCTAGTGTATCAGTTGATGTACATGAACACAATGTTGGATAAGTCTTACATGTTGTGGACTAACAGGCACAGAGAAGCAAAGAGTAGAAATGTTAGTGTAAAATTGGTATGTCTCATTTTGTGATTTTCATTAGTGTATCTGTTCTATTAGTTCACGTGCATGAAGACAATGTTGGATAAATCTTACATATTGGTGGGTAATTGTTACATGGTGTAGATTAATAGGTACAGGACAGAAAGAAAAGAGAAATGTTAAGACTGAAATTTGAATGGCGTATTTGGGACTTCATTGATGTATGTTTATTGTATTAGTTGTTGTGCATGAACAAAATGTTGGATAGATACTACATGGTGTTGGATAACTGTTACATGGTGTGTATTAGCAGATACCAGTCAGAAAGAGAAGAGAAATGTTAGATTGAAATTTGAATGTCGTACGTGGGACTGCATTGATGTATGTTTATGGTATTAGTTTTTGTGCATGAACAAAGTGTTGGATAAGTGTTACGTGGTGTTTGATAAATGTTACATGGTGTGGATTAGTAGGTACCGACGAGAAAAAGAAGAGAATTGTTAGATTGAAATTAAAATGTCGTATTTTGGACTGCATTGATGTATGTTAGATTGTATTATTTATTGTGCATGAACACAATGTTGGATAAATGTTATATGGTGTGGATTAACAAGTACATAGAAGAAACAGAGTAGAAATGTTAGCGTGTAACTGGTATGTCATATTTGAGACTTCGGTGGTATATGTTTATTGTATTTGTTGTTATGCATGAACAGGATGGCACGAGTAAGAAGCGAAAGACGGAACAAGAGTTTAGGCGAAAATGAAGGAATAGAGGCAGCGAGTACAAGTGAAGTTAGAGAACCAGTTCCACCGTTGAATGCGTGGATGAAGTTTAGGTAATATTGATGTTTATTGAAAATAATAATCATGAGTAGAATGCACAGCTAATTGGTTAATATTTAATGTGTGTAGGAAGGAGTATCAAAGCACCGTTCCAGCGAAAGGCATTAAGATAACAGAGATATGTATTAAGAACTAAATAAAGCATTAATTGTTTATAGTTGTTGCACGGTAAACGTAAAAAACACAATTAGAAAAGGGTTAATATCAGAAACCTCCCTTGAGGTTTCTTTTAATCACACCTAGCACCCTCCATGTGTTCGAAATCACACTTAGCACCCCTGCAATGACAATTTTGGTGCCATTGTCAGCCTCTCTATTTCAAAATGATAGCAAAAAAATGAATTGTAGGATAGAGACTTTATTTTTGTTCCACCTGTACCCATAGCCCAAAAAGAGTTTATTTCCTAGTAGCAAAACAGGTCTAAATCTTGTTTTTTAGTATATGTAAATGATTATCTAATAAATAATAGGATACCATCAGGGTTGTAACACAATTACATATCTTCATACGCCATGGAGTGTGCTGATATGTATCGTTTGGAGGGATGCGAGGTAGGGAAGGGTGTTAGATCAATCATCCTTGAATAGTGTAACACGTTTTGAACATTCTGTAATTTTATGTAAGTTTCTTGTATATCTTTACAATAGATTGCGTGTCTGCTATTAAGGTTTATAAATAATTCACATAGAGTTACACATTATTTAAAAAATGTTACATTGATCCGAACGGGGATAAAAAATGTGAGTATGGATTCTCATAATGGCAGCAATAGTTTCATAATGTGGTTGTAGTTGTAAATAAACCTGCTCTTCCATATTTGGGAAAATGCGGTCGTATAAATAGCTTTTTTCTGCATCGTAGTCGAATGGAGTTTGTAAGTTATTAATATTGCAATCCTCAGTGTCTAGATTATTGCTTGTTGATGGTGTTTTGGAAACATATGGATTGCAATACCCCATTATGTAGTAGAAATGGCTCGCTTAGGGTATATACTCATGAATTCCCATCATCTTTGAACTACATTTAGATTGTGTTATTATATAGTTAGGAATTGCGATTTTGGCAATAGCACTATGTCCATTGCCAAAAGTTAACATTACTGGAAACAGTATGACTAATTAATATTAGAGAGGGGGATAAGAACAGTTGTTAGATCAATTATCCTTAAATAATAACATTTTTTGATCATTTTGTAATTTTTTATAAACTTCTTGTACATCCTTGCAACAGAAGTGTGATAAGTTGTTAGTGTAGATATGGGTACAGTATGTAATAATCGTACTTGTGTTGGTAAGTTTTACAGATTGTTCAATTAGAGTTACACGTTGTACAAAGAATATTACATAATTCAAAACAGTTATCAGCAGTTTGTCAAAAGAATTTTTTGATTTTTTTTAAATCTTTTTTGGTATGCAGTTTTCTTCTTAGTTCTTGTAGTGGAGTATTAGTCTCCGTATACTTCATTGATTATTTTTAAATTATGACCGTTCAACTTTGGTTATGGTATAACAATACTTATCTGAATTTCTTTTTGCCTCTGAACGAGTTAAGGTTGTTTGTGGCATGGGATAGATGTTGGTGATTTTTGGATAATTTTTCACCTTTTGATTAGGAGAACCTGTCACATCCTACTGTCGGGAATGCTATGTGTGATTTCGAAAACTTAGGGGGTGCTACATATGATTAGAACAAACATTAGGGGAGGTTTCTGATATTAATGTGTGTTAGAAAATGCTAAATTACATATAACATGATTCACGATTATATGCATCCAATGCAGTATAATAAAATGGTTAAAGCAGCATATGATAAGTTGAGCGAGGAAGAAGTCCAGAATCGAAAAGAGAACTATCGAAAAGAGAAAGAGGAGTACAAGAGAGAAATGGCGCGACTTGAAAAGACTATACCGGAAAAATAGCAGATTAAGGTAAGCACAAGGCATGGATGCTGAAATAGGTTGTTACGTGATAATGTGTGTATGTCTAACTAGTTTTTGTGCTTGAACTTGGTTATAGAATCCGAAGTACACCATTCGTTGTTCACCAAATCAGATGGTTTGGTTAGCATCGAACATTGCTGAAACAAAAAAACAGCAAATCAGAGATTTGGGGTTTGGAGGGCTGCTGGAAATAAAGTGTCGCTCCATTCCGAGCGGCATAGCAACCTGGCTGATCGACAATTTTAATCCTACACTAAGTAGCTTTCAGCTACATAGAGATGGTGTGCTACCCTTAACAGCAAAAGACATCAGTTTAATCCTTGGAATCCCAAATGATGGCCCCTTACCAGTTGAAGATACTAATAGCAGTGAGGGTGGAGATTCTGGACCAAGTCGCCGAACATACAAATGGAAAGAGCTGCCCGAAGAATTAGTAAGCATGAGCGGTGGGGACGAGTTCAAGCGACTATTTGTTGCATTTGCTTGTGGATGTCTATTAGCTCCAACTACACGGGTTGAGCATAAAATTTGGCTATGGGGTTGCACGAAAGTGGTTACTGAGGTGCCCTCATTAAACTGGGCAGAGTACGTTAGAAATGTACTATGCAATAGGATATTAGAAGTACAGAAGAAAAGCGGAAAGCAACACCAATATGTTGGGGGTTGCATGTTTGTCCTACTCGTAAGTTTAGTTTCGTGATATGGAAAGTTAGTAAGTGATCTAAGTAGTAGGGGATGCAACGAAAAGAAATTTTAAGTAGGCACATGAAGGTTGTTTATGCATAGTACTTGAATTGCATGTGATATAATTGATGTGTCAGTGTCTAATTAAATTGCAGGTGCATTACCTTGATCGAATGACAATATTGAAGCACAGAGTGGCTCGAGTTACACCAAGAGCAAAGGCATGGACAGATGCTTTAATTTCAGAACGGGATGCATTGGAGATCGATAATCTCGGAGGTTATGGAAAAGGAAAACTAGTAAGAGCGATAAATTTTTTTTTGATGGATTTTAACTTACTAGTTTGTATGTATAGGCCACACATACCATGTACTTATGAAGTGATGGTTTGATTTTGTTTTCGTAGATTGGGACGCATGAAGAGGAAGAGGCTGAATCTAGTGCACAGATAAATGAACTACCCCTGAACTAGTTGGAATAATGATGGACAGCGGGCATCATGATATTACAGTAAGTTGCCTAACTGTTAAAACTGATACTTCATTATGCGCTATTGTTGCTTAAGTTAAAGTTATACATTTTTTATAATTTGAACAATCATTTGTAAGCAGCCACAGCTACGTAACTTAGGAAAGTAATCTTGTCAAATACAATCATTAAGTGTTGACGTACAGCATACAATCATTTTGCCCCACGCTATGCTTGACATATAAAATTAGGAAAGTTAGTTGTAAATGGAGTATGGGACAAAGAAGTAGTTAAGCTTTGTAAAAAGGTGGCAAAATTTTTCAAACGCCGATCACAAATAACACTAGTGGTCAGCTATAATCTAGCTACATTTGAAACGTAGTGTGCTCATGTCGTTTGTTCCATATTTTATGACAGAAATGAGAGAGAAAAAAAATTCTCGAATGTTATTCATGCAAAATACAGAGTTAATTGTATACTTCATGCAATTCGTGTGCCAAATACACCTTAATCATTTTCATGTAACTTTTCTTGAAAAATATTTCACCACCTGAAAGCGAACAGGCAGATTTCATGAGGTCCATGAGGAAGTAATACAGATCAATGCATAATATGATGAATTCATCTGTTCAAATTAAGTCGAAACGGGCTATTCATTGTGGTTTGTTAATGTATAAGCAGGTTGAGCTTTCAGAAGTGTACAGTATGACAGTGAGTTGCCAAAAAAGGATATTAAATATTGCAGAATTGTTGTGTTCTCATCCTAGGGCCAAAACAGCAACAACAAAGGTCGTTTCAAACGAAAAGCAGAAACAGAGGATGTCTGATTCAGAGCAAATACATCTTGATATGGACAGTGAAGATCATTCGGAATATCAATCGGCAGAGCAGGAAAGGATTCCAATACTGACGATGACGGTGATAGTGAAAAAGAACAAGATGCAGGCGGTAATGATGATGACATTGGGACCTCAACCAGAGCAATAGATGAGACTGAACCAACAAATCGACATTCGATGGAGCAGAAGACAGTTGGAAAAGAGCAAAGTGGGAGAACCACTGATGGGAAGGAGGCAGAAAATGTTGGCAACACAAGTGATGGGAAGGACATTTCAGACAGGGTGTACAAGTCAAATGATACCCCAACAATCATCCAAGATGACTCAACAGGTCCCTTTCGAATTGAGCATCCTTTGGATCTGCCACACACACCGAGAAGGTTGCGGTCTTATAGTCGCAAAAGGAAAGGTTAGTGAACAAAAAACAGTGTCTTGAATTTGATGTACAAGTACTCACAAATTAATTTTATTATGTTGTGTCCAAAGGATGGAAACCTTGATAGTATTCAGTCTGAATTAATAGTTACATTTGAGTTTTGCATATGAATTGAAGAATTCTTAGCTGATTGGTTAAACGTTATTGCACTGTGTTGCCCCATTAAATTTTTGTATAACATGTATACCTAATCATTATTCTGTCAGTGTGAACTATATAACATTTCGATTTTCTGATGTATTGATATCTGCAGCAGTTGTTGAAGATGAGAATAAGCACAGGCCAACTCGGGCAATGAAGAAAAGCAGCATGCTACGGTCAGCCGAGTACGTTCTGCCTTCGCACGTGACAATCAGCATTTACGACAAAAGGATCGCTGCATTCGCGTGGGAGGTACATAAGAATCCCAAGTAAGATTCCTATATATTTATCATACGATTATGAGGTTATAATACAGGCATTTAAGAATTTATTGGTGCCACTATTTGTTAAATGCATCCCTCCAGTCCATTCGTAATCAATTCATGCATTTTTATGCTCTTCGAATTGGAATTCAATTTAGGCTAAAATGGTATCAATTGTAACCATAAGATTGTAACATTTCTCCCGAGTTACGTTTCTTGAACATTCTTTTTGTAATGAAGAACTAGCATAAGGTAGTAAAATTGATGAATATTAGGGAATGCATGGTTTATTAGCGCTAGTATTTGTTGGCTGAAGTTGAATGTAACTTTATGATAAAGCATTTACTTTTTTGTAGAACATGGTTGCTAACAACTGCCAATTTTAAAAGTAACTCTTTGTCTGACTTAATGACAGGGAGACACTCATTCAGATGTTCCAACTTTCTCTAACACGAGATGACCTCAGGACTCTTTGTGATGGCATGCATGTGTCGACTCGGGTTAGGCATATTTTTTCAGCCCGAAAAATAATACATTGTGTTGGTTTGGTAAGATAAAGCGATACGTTTTTCAAATGGCAGTAACTAAACCCATTCTGTTACTTGGCTGTAACTGTACGCAGGTCATGGACATATTTGCCAGGCATATAAATTGGGGTGGGGAGGCTAGTACAACCAGTAGAGTCAAACGCTATATTGTCGAGCCTATAGCAGTTGTAAGTATTAAAATTGTTGTTAGATAATGGCTACCATTCAATAAAATATTATCAAAGTTTCGCACAAATGCATGTACCAATCTATTACCCGAGTCAGTGAAATTCACCCTAAACATCTATATCCCCTTGTACTGATTGCTAACAGGATGGCATTTTGAATCTTCGAAAATTCGAAATACAAGCCGATGACATCCTAACTACTAAGCTTATGAAGTTGTTCAAGATCCGCAGGCCTGATAAAGCGGCTGATCCATCTAAGTGTCAGTTGGTATGGATATAACCTTATCGTAACTATTGATGAGACATGCTATATATTGGCATGTTATTGGTAAACTACTCTATTATGCTCGTGCTGATAAAATTTTTTTTTATGCTGCAGATTCTTGTTCCTGTCCTCGTAGACAGCTGCTGGTTTGTGTACTCCTTCCATGTCTCACAACGCATAGTGCATCTGCTAGACCCTGACCCACAACAAGCAAAGAGCAAAGATATTACAGTTCTAAAGCGCTTGGTATGAGTGTTTATAGGAGTTGTTCATAATTTTTATCATACAAATAGTTACTTGACTCTGTTTCATGCAGCAACGTGCCCTCGGACTGATAATGGCAGCTAAATTTGGGATGGAACTTGACTTTGCAACTTTCAAACTCTTAGTTGCTGATGTACCTCATGTGTCACTCGATCGCATGTAAAATATGGGATCTTTCAATACCACCCCGATACCTTACTATTGCAATGTGTACTACAATCACTTTAATATATTGTCCATATTTCTGAGTCACAATATGTTGATCTGTACAGGTTCGATAGTGGAGTTTTCACGATGACCTTTCTTGAACACTGGAGTGGAAGATTGGCTGTGCGAATTACTGAGGTGTGATCATATTCTATAACTATCTATTTTTCTACTTGTGGCAATAAAACGGGTAATAAATACCTCAATCCCCGGGTTTACTAATACAAGAGGTGAAATTGTGCAGGAAAATGTTGCGAAATATCGAATTATGTACACCGCGCGGCTTTGTAGTTCGGAGCATAATACAAAGTTCAGGACACTATTGTCGCCACGGTTGGGAGTAAACAGTAAAAAGTTGCAAGATCATCATAGTTAAGGATGTAAATTCAGGACTCTTTTTGTATAGTAGCAAAGGATGTTTTTGAAACAGTAGTTTTTCGACCTGGCCATATTAGCGACGAAATGTGCGTCTTTTTGTAACATACTGTTTATTTATCGGTTTTGGCCATAAAATGTGATTTTAAGTCATGTATTTTGTGTTCTTCGAGTTGCAGTTGTCAGTAATAACATTAGTCGAACATGTATATTTATGTATATTTGCCGTAACTCTATGCCAACTACTTGTAATATGGGCAGTATGAAGAGTATGGACAATGAAGACCCATGGCACCAATGCCATTTAGATTGTGGTACGATGAATAGTATGGACAATGAAGATCAATTACTTGTCAGTAAAAAAATATAGGCATTAATGACATGCCCTTTTAAGAGGGCACAGTGTTACACACCATTCACTTGACCATAGTTACCTTCAATCAAGTAAGTTTTGTGCAAAATGTACGGAGTGTAACTCTGTATGCACATACAGGACCTTACCTTCAACAATGCCCTCGGACTGTAGAACAAACGCTTTATTATACCGCCTTTTTTTCGTTATGCAAGTAGATGTAACTTGTCAGTAAATAATTGACATGTGAACAAGCCAGTAAATAATGCAACGTTGCGTTTATCCTACAGATGTTGTCCAGGTATGCAAATTAGTTACATTTTAAAAGCATTAAGATGCATCCTTGAAGTCCAAACTTGGTGGGAAGGACGCTGCCCTTCCAAATCTCCCTATTAGATGGACCAAAGACACCATTTATTGTCATTAATAACCTCCCTTGTACAAGTATTTTTATAAAAACAAAACGTAACTATATGCTAAGAACTTGTAATACCGACCACAGGCATTAAAGTTTAGAGGTTTTATTATCTGTATCCATTTATTGTCAGTAACTACCACACTTGCTCAAACGTAACACTTCTTTGAACAAGGTGTAAAGCCACGTCAACTACTTGTGCATCAAGTATTAAATATGGGGTCAAGATGATAAAGTGTGTAATGAAATAATATACAGGTAAGGCATAAAGCATGAAAAAATTCTTGTTTTTAACAAATACTGCATGAAAAAACTTTATACACATATAAACGGTATACGGAAGGTCGGAACCCTCAACCAACGCACATGACCTGCTGAGTTTTTGTTAAGTTCCTTTCATGATAAAAGCTGCAATTTTCCGTAACTGTTTAGTAACTCGCCGTAACACTCATCAAACGTCTCGATACTATCTCCTGTACGCCTTGTACTCAAAGTAGGTGTGAAATCAAATGGACATGATTCCCAAGAAAGGATGTTACTCTATAGATTTCAATCCCGTCACCTACTTCCTGGCATGCCTATTTCATAGGTGCAGCAATGCAAAATTTGCGGACATACACAGGAAAGGTTCCAAGTGCAATCGTTGCTGAAGGTGTGTGCATTTTGCATACTCCATAACTCTGTTTGCACATGGTGTAACTCCCGTTCGACAACGTGTAATTGTAGTACAAA